CTAGCCCTAGCCCTAGCCCTAGCCCTAACCCTAGCCCTAGCCCTAACCCTAGCCCTAACCCTAGCCCTAGCCCTAACCCTAGCCCTAGCCCTAACCCTAGCCCTAGCCCTAACCCTAGCCCTAGCCCTAGCCCTAGCCCTAGCCCTAGCCCTAACCCTAGCTCTTCAGCTGCTCTTTTTTTTTTTCTATCTTTTCTTTCTTTTTCTCCTCTTTCCTCTCTTGCTGCTATCTGCTGCCCTAGTTTCCCCTTTGACTAATTCTAATCTCCTTCTCTTCTCTGCCTGCTTTATTCTGTATAATCTTCTCCTGCTTTCTTTCTACTAATGCTCTCTTAGCTATATCCTCTGCTATCTTATTCTCTTCTAATCACTCTGCTTCTTTCTTGCTCTATTTTCTCTAATCCTACCTTTCTTTCTACCTTGCTAGCCCTTAGCCTCGCCCAATCTTTCTAACCCTAACCCAAGCTCTCTCTTCTAATCCTGGTCTTTGCCTTCTCTTTAAGCCTTGATTCTTGCTTTCTTTTCTTCTTTTCTCCTTTTTTTCTTTTCTCCTTTTTTTTCCTGCTTTTTCTATTCCCTTTTTGCCTCTAATCCCTTTACTAAGCTCTATTCTATCTTCTATCCTTGCCTTTTCTCTAAATCTCTTTCTGCTCTCTAGTTTCTTTCTTAACCTTGCTTTCTCTTTTTATTTTATCTTGCTTTGCTCTTTTTCTGTTTTCCTCTTCTCTCGAAAGCTCTCTTGCTTTTCTGCATATTTGATTTTTCCTTTTGCTTTTCTTACTACCCTTTTCTTCTCTTTGCTTTGCTTTATTTCTCTCTCTGCTTTTTCTTTTTATTTCTCCCTTCTAGTACTAATCTATTTCTTTCCTTTCTACTCTCTATTTTTCTTTATCTTTTTCTCTAAATCTCCTTTTTTTTTCTCTCTTTTTTCTTTCCCTCTCTTTTCTTTCTTTTTTCCTCTCTCTTTCTCTTCTTTCTCCCCTTTCCCTTTTTTCCTCTTCTTTCTTTTTTTTTCTCTCTTCTATTTTTCTTGCAATTCCTTAATAAGCTTTTGGATATCTATGCTTTTACTACTTTTCTAAGCCTTATCTTCTTTTCTTCTTCTAAACTCTTTCTTTAAATCCTTTAAATTCTTATTAAACTCTTATTATCTTTATATTTCTAATCTTTATTTTATAGCTCCTATATTATTATTTCTACTAAATCTGCTCTCTTTCTCTTTTTTGTCTATTTATTTTCTTTCTTAAATAAGCTTTTCTTTTCTCTTTTTTCCTATATTTCCTCTTCTCTTTTATCTTCTAGCTTTATTTTGCTTTTCTTCTTATTTATTTCTCTCTTTTTCTTCTTTTTCTTCTTTTTTTCTTTTACTTTCTTTTCTTTTTTCCTTTTTTTTCCTTTTTTCTTTTCTTTATATATTCTTTTAGCTTTTTCTATCTCCTTTCTTTCCTTTTTTCGCCTTATTTCTTGCTTTCTCTTTCTGCTTTATATATTTCTTTTTTTTCTATTTTCTAGCTTTTTCTATTCTGCTTTTTAAGCTTTTTTTGCTTTAATATTCCTTTACTCTCTTATCTTTTCTTGCTTTTTTTTTATTCTTTTTATTTCTCTTCTTTCTTATAATTTTTTAAATAATAATATCTATTTTCCTCTATTAATCTTTTCTCTTTTTTTTAATTAAATATTTTGCTTTGCTTATTTATTATTTCTATTTTTTTTTATTTTCTTTTTTGGTTTTTTTTTAATATTTTATTTTTTTTCTATTTCTTTTTTTATTTTTTAATTCTTAGTTTTTATATTATATTTTTCATAATTATCTTATTTTCTTTATTTCTTTTTATAAAAATTTATATAAACTTTTCTATTTATATATTTCTTATTTTATATATATTTTTTAGCTTTTTTCTAAAAGCTTATCTTTTTTATTAAATGCTTTTATTCAAATTAAACTTATTTCTAAATTATTATATTTTATTATTTTATTATATAGTTTATAATAATATATAAATATATAAATAATATTCTATAATTATAATATTAGAATTTTCTTCTAGTATATTTTATTACTAATATCTATATAATCTTCTCTTTATTATAAATAATTTTATTTTCTATCTTATAAATTCTCTAGCTTTTATTTCATAATAAAAATAAAGCTCTTTTATTCTATATATATTATACAAAGCTTGCTTTTCAATCTAGCTTTATTCTTTTATTTACTTATTTTCTTTATTAAATAATAATATTATCTTATTTCTAATCTCTTCTTTCTCTTTCTTTTCTTCTGCATTCTTGCCTTTTCAGATTATATCTTAATTCTCTCCTTACTTTATATCTATACTTATATACATATATATACATATATACATATATATATATATATTTATTCTATATACAGCGCATTCTCTTTTTCTCAGCCTCTCTCCGTCGCTCCGCCCCGGGCTGACTTTCCCTGCTGGCTGTGATTATTTTCTGTTCTGTATCGCTCTTCCAGCCCAGCCTGCACCGTTCCGCCCCGGACCGATTTTCTTTCTCTGCTCTTCATAACTATCTTTCATCTTGCACTGCCTCCGCAGCTCGCCCCGCCACAAACCGGCCTTCTTGCCCTGATGAAGCTCTAGTTGTACATAGCCTGCGCTGAACAACTGCCAGCTAGCCTGCAATTCCCGGGTCTCCTATCTCTCTATTTATGAAAACCAGTATTGCTTCTTATTATACGCCTTCCATACCATCTCCTCCCATAATGCCAGCATATTCATCCCCTTTATCTCATGAAACCGACGGCTCCTGCCCAGCTACACATAAAATGCCTCACAGTCCCGCAGATCCACCCCAAACCTCTCCCGAGCCAATATGCGCACCCATATTTACCAGCAGCTCGCTAGCACCACCGCTAGCACCTTGTCCAGATCCGCACACCTGCCCTCCTGCCCGCCCTCGCGCCTCTCCTCGCACCAGTCCAGCGGGAGCTTACACTGGAAGCAGCACGCTAGCGCCTCGAACCGGACCCTCTTGCGGGCTTCTCTGTAGCCCTTCTCCTTCCCCTCCTCCTCCTCTCCCTCCTCCTCCTCCTCCTCCTCCTCCTCCTCGCCCGCCTTGTAGTCCTCCTCTATACACTCATGCTGCCGCTGCGCCTCCATCTGCTCTAGCCGCAGCCCTCAATAATAGCGCCGCATATGGCATGCAGCACACTCGCCTGCCACCTCATCAAGCCACCGCAGCAGCAGCCGCACTCGCCTGCCCTCCTCAAGCCCATATGCCTTCCAGATCTGGCCCCCTCCAGCCCTGCTGCGCCGCCTGCTGTCCTCGCCCGCCGCCGCCCCCTGTTCCTTCTGGCACTGATCACACTGCTCGGCCCCGTCGAGATCCTGGCACCCTTCCCCGCTAACCCCATCCATAAACGCAGCTAGCACCGCCCGCCAGCACCCTGTGGTCGATACAAACTGCTCCATCTGCAGCTGGTTGTTCTCCTCTACAAAGCCTGCGTGCTCATTCCTCCGCTCTGGCTGCCCGTTGTAAACAATCACTGATTCCACCACCTCGCCCGCCCGCCGCCCGCCCCGCCCTGTCTGCTGCACAAAGTCCACCAGCCCGTACGGAAGCTCCATGTGCACTACCGCCACGATGCCCTCGATATCCACCCCTGTCCCGAGCCCGGTGGTAGCGGTGATCCACCGGTGCAGCCCCTAGCTGGCAGCTCATACCTCGCGCGCTGCCCGCTGCTCCTCCTCGCTCATCCCGCTGTGATGAAAGCTGCAGCCCAGCTCCTCGGCCACAGCTGTGCACTGCTGTCTCGACCAGCAGTAAACCACCCCCTTCTGGTTGCCTGTTATCTCCCTCCCGAGCTGCTGTGCTATCTCGACTGTTTGCTCCTGGACTGCGCCTCGCCCTCCCTGCACCAGCTCGACACGATACCAGCAGTTGGCCTTGGTAGTCCTGGCCTGCACAGCAACAGCATCCTGCGCGAGCATCTCCTCCCGGAACCAGCTCTCCAGCACCAGCAGCAGCGTGGCCGTCAGCAGCACCATCGGGCACCCGAACCGCCGCAAGCTCTTCAGCTCGCCCAGCCGCGCCCAGTAGCTGATATCTGTAATCGCTGTATAGCACTCGTCCACGAAGATCCGCTGCAGCAGCCCTGCGAGCAGCAGCCCGTCTGCATATGCTGTAAACTCGGCTGTAGACACCAAATCAGCGCTAGCCACCACCATCCGGACTGCACGCAGCAGCCCATCCCGCCCTATGCTGAGCAATAGTTGGTACCGGATGCAATCTACGCTCATAGCAACAGCCTGCGCCACCAGATCCTCCATCAGCGCTACAAACAGCACAACTACGATGCTCGTTCCGCTGTTGGCTAGCACCGCTGGCACTATAAACAGCAAGCTCTTGCCCGCCCCGGTCAGAAGCATGCAGATAGCTGTCCCGTCGGGCCCGAGCTGCATGATCGTCTGCATGCTCTCAGCCTGCTCGCTGAACTTCCACGCCGCCTCGGGCCCCAGCAGCATCCGCAGCCCTGCTGTAATCTCGGCATCCGTATCCATCCGCCCAGCAGCAGCTATAGTCTTTGCCTGCTTGCGCCCTGCTGCTGCGGGCGCCTCTGCTTCCTCCAGCGCTGCACTTTTTCGCTTTTTCCCTAGTTGCACCACTTCTTCTGTCCTTCCCCTTTCCTTCTTCTCTCCCCTGCTCTCCAGAAACTGGTGCCACAGCCTGCTAACGGCCCGGAACGTCGCCACCATCTCCGGCTGCAGCCTGCTCAGAAACTCGATATGCACTGCATAATGCTGCTGAGCAATCTTGATGCTGTGCATAGCCTGCAAATCCCACACGATATTCCAGCTTCCTCCGATATCCATCGGCTCGCCTGTCAGCGGGTTCACATCTATATTATTATTCTCATTCATCTCTTCTATCTGTGCTTTCGCCTGCTGCATCGCAAGCCCTCGGATCCGCTGCTTCATCTCGATAGCGATCAGCCGATAGCGAGCTATGCCCATCCGAACCCCCGTGCTAGCCTGCATTACTCGTGCTAGCAGTACGCTGAGCCGGTCTGTATTCCATCTCCTTGAATCGCCATCGGCCTACATATACTCAAGCTGCTCGCCCTGCAGCTCTGTCAGCTTGCATTTGTACTGCAGCATTCCCTCGCCCGGCAGCAGCTATGCAATATATGCAACAACCATCCGCCCGACCTGATCCAGCAAGAAGCGGGCCACCTTGCGCCCGTGGTTGCAGAGCGCCTTCATCTTATCGCAGTCTGTTACCAGCATCACCTGGCTGTTCAGCACAAACACGTTGCGGATCAGCTGCCACGAGTCGCTGTGCCGCATGATCATCAGCTCCAGCCCGCGCTCTAGCTGCCCGCCCCAGATATGCACGAGCAGCAGCAATGCCTCTCGGAACAGCTGCAGCTGACGGAGCCACTTCTTCACTCCAGCCTGCTTCCATCGGTTCCGTACTGCATCCCAAACAGATGGTCCGATCAGCTGCATCACCTTGCCTGGCCCTGCCTCCAGCCATCTGTTCTTCGCATTTGTTACAAATGACTGGCCTGCGCCGAGCCGCATTATGCTGTCGGCAATCCGCTCCATAGCCAGCTCCCGGCGCGCCTGCGCCCATGTGCTAGCCAGCAGCCTGTCCAGCAGCGCCTCTGCATCTGCCACCAGCTTGCATGCCGTCTGCTGGAAGTCCTGCACCGCGATCTGCTCTCCGTTGTGAAAAAGCGTCTGCTGGTCTTCGGACCACCGCACGAATGCTTGCCCGCTCATCTGCTGCCGCCAGCCCTTGCTATACGCCATCCACCCAATAATAATGCTGATGATTGTATATGTGCCTGTGAACATCCATTTAGCAAGCTCCTTTTCGAATAGAAGCACAGCTTCTATGCTGACCTCCTCCCGCTCTCTTAGCTGTATCTCAAAGCTAGCCTCCAGAAAGAACAGCCATGCCCACCATAGTATAGCTGCAAGCATACCTGTATACAGATGTGGTTCTATATAGCCTGCTGGTGATTTCTTAATGCTTAGTGCTGCACAAAAGCAGAGCAGCGGGTTCGCATAGATTCTGCCGCCCACATGCTGCTTGATAGAAGCTATCACAAACAAGAAGACAGCCCGGTCGAGCGCGCCGGTCAGCTGGCTCCCGCCTTCTCTGCCCCTCTCGCTCTCCTCCTTCTCCTCCTCCTCCTCCTCCTCCTCCTCACTGTCCTTCTCGCTTTCTTCGCCCTCTTTGCCCCAGTTGCTGCTGTAGCCGCTGTTCTAGCTGCTGCTGCTGCTGCTCTCCAGCGCCTCAAGCTCGTATGCCACATCTCCCAGCAAGCTCCACTGCTCATCAGTAAAGCTGATAGCCCACTGCTCAAATGCCTTATCGCACCCTGCATAATATGCCCGCAAGCAGAAGCCCAAGTAGCGCTGCTCAACGAGCCGGTATTTGGCCATCGATGCCTTCTAGCCTTTGCATTCAAATGGCACCCCGTTTGGCGCTGCCGTGGAGATGCTGGCCAGCCACCGCAGCGCATTGGCCGGAACGCTGTCCAGCCGCCAGCAGCACCTATCCACCTCGCAATCAAAGCTTTCTGCTAGCTTAACCAGCCGCGCTCGCGCCCGAAGTGCCTCCTCATCTGCCTCCTGTGCCGCCCTGCCGCCCGCTGCTGGTGCCTTCACCCACTCAACAGCCCTATGAATATCGAGCTTATCCCGCAAGCCGAAATGCCGTACCCAGCCTAGCCTCTTTACCCATGCCGAGTCCCGGTCGATCCCCTCCTCCGTATCGCTCTTGCAGAGCTGTGCTTCATCCTCTTCTTTGCGCTCTGCTATATAGTTCGCAATTATCTTCTCCAGCATGCTGTCTCCAGCAGCCTGCTTCTCTCTGTCGCTGTAATGGCCTGCTCCCTGGACAGCTCAGTAGCGCATATACTTTCGCTGCGAGCATATCCATGACTGCAGCTGTACTTTTTTCCAGCCCAGCTCTGTTGCTGCATAGCCAGCTGTCCTCCAGTGCTGCATCATATTATCTCTGGCAATCGTCAGAAAGCAGCATTGTATGCAGCGGAAGCTATGCAGCAGCAGCAGCCCTTGAACTGGCTTTGATCTCTCGGCCGGGATATCAGTAGTAAGCGGATTCTGCAGCTTCATTGTGCTGTAATAGTCCACGATATCCCTTAGTAGCTGCCCTTTGATCTTGTGAGCGCGGAAGTGGCCTTCGATGCTATTTCCCGGGCGGACAGCATTATTGCATAAGCGGCAGAGCAGTATCTGGTATTCTTCGTTTAACTCAACCGTTTTCTCCATTCTGTTTTTTGCTTTGTGTCTGTTTGACCTGGTTTTCTTCTGCTCTGGATAGCTAGCTATGATAGAATATTCTCTATTTCTTTTCTGTCGTCGTATTAATCGCGAACCCTCGTCGCGAACCCTCGTCGCAAACCCTTGTCGCGAATCCCTGTTGCAAACTCTGGGGTTGGGGTAACGGGAATCCACCCTAGAAAGTGTCAGCCAATCAGGAGCTCGGCTTGGCCTGACATGATATGGCCCGAAAGCTCGGGCTACATTTTCGGTTTTGTATGAGCGATTTGGCCCAAATCGCCGGAGAATAATGCCTAGGATGAAAGTTAGTTATTGAAGAATACTTAGAAAAAGAAGCTTTAAACAACTTTATATATATTTTCAAATCAGCAGAGCTAGCAGTTTAAGAAGAAAAACCTAGTAATAAGCGGATTCAAACAGTGCTAAAGCGCTAACAGATTAGTAAAATAATGAAAGTGAAACTCTTAGCAAGTTGGTTCGCTTCGAAGCAATAAGGAAAGGCTTCAGAATGTGGATTATAGATTCATACAAGAAAAACCTTGAAACCAGGCTCTTGAGCAGTCGGTTCAGCCCGGAGCGAATACTCAAAGCTCTCAAAAACGCTACCAAAAACAATAGATAAAAAGAAGTATACTTAACAGTATCTACTATTCCTCCAGATAGCAGAAATAGTATATAAACTAGAACTAATACTCGCAAGCATATTACGAAAATACTACAAATTCAAGAAATTATTTCAGAAGGAATTGGATATAGAATTGCTAAAATACAGCTCATACAATCACGAGATCCTGCTACAAAAAGAAAAACAGTCCAAGTTCTTCCCTATCTACAAACTAGATAAGATATAACTAGAAGTACTTAAGGAGTATCTTAATAAGAATTTCAAAAAGGAATACATACAACTATTGCAATTATCAGCAGAATATCCCCATTCTATTTGTATCTAAAAAGAACAGCAAGCTTAAGCTATATATTGATTACAAGCAATTTAATAATATTACAATTAAGAACTAATATTCATTGCTACTCATTAAGGAACTGCGAGATAGATTATAAGAAGCATAGTAGTTTATAGCTTTAAATCTAAAAGAAGCTTATAATCTGATTAGAATAAAGAAAGAAGAAGAATAGAAGACTGCTTTCAGAATATGCTATAGATATTACAAATATTTGATTATGCTCTTCAGTTTAACGAATACTCCAGCTTCAGAATATAGATTGTAGGTCTATACAAGAAAAACCTCGAAACTAAGCTCTCGAGCAGTTGGTTCAGCTCGGAGCGAATGCTTAAAGCTTCCAAAAACGCTATCAAAAACAACAGATAAAAAGAAGTATGCTTAACAGTATCTACTATTTCTCCAGATAGCAGAAACAGTATATGAATCAGAACCAATATTTGTAAGTATACTACAGAAATACTACAAATTCAAGAAATTATTCCAGAAGGAATTGAATATAGGATTGCTAAAATACAGCTTATATAATTACAAGATTCTGCTATAAGAAGGAAAATAGCTTAAGTTCTTCTTTATCTATAAACTAAATAAGATATAACTAGAAGCGCTCAAGAAGTATCTTAATGAAAATCTCAAAAAGGGATATATACAACTATTGCAATTACTAGCAGAATATCCTATTCTATTTGTATTCAAGAAGAATAGCAAGCTTAGACTATGTATTGATTATAAGCAACTTAATAATATTATGATTAAGAACTAATACTCATTACTACTTATCAAGAAACTGCAAGATAGATTGCAAGAAGTATAGTGATTTATAGCTCTAAACTTAAAAGAAGCTTACAATCTGATCAGAATAAAGAAAGAAAAAGAATAGAAAACTGCTTTCAGAATACGCTACAAATACTACGAATATTTGATTATGCTTTTCAGTTTAATGAATACTTCAGCTTTAGAATATAAATTGTAGATTCATATAAGAAAAACCTCGAAACCAGGCTCTCAAGCAATCGGTCCAGCTTAGAGCGAACGCTCAAAACTCCTAAAAACGCTATCAAAAACAACAGATGAAAAGAAGCATGCTTAACAATACCTACTATTCCTCCAGATAGCAGAAACAATATATGAATCAGAACCAATACTTGCAAGCATATTACGGAAATACTACAAATTCAAGAAATTATTCCAGAAGGAATTGGATACAGAATTGCTAAAATACAGCTTATATAATTACAAAATCCTGCTACAAAAAGGAAAACAGCCCAAGTTCTTCCTTATTTACAGACTAGACAAGGCATAACTAGAAGCGCTCAAGGAATATTTTAACAAGAATCTCAAAAAGAAATATTCAAAGGCAGTAAATACTTGTATAGTTACTCAGTTATGTTTCCGTATTCAAGGCTTGTACTTAGCACTGCTCTTGTTAGTATAAACTCTTTGTAAACTTCGGAATCTTTGGATTACTGCAGTGCTTATTATATTTATGCTTAACTGCTGTGCTAGGAAAAGGATTATTATTATAATTACTATTGCTGCTTTTAATAAGGAAAAATTGTATATAATACTGCTTTATATCTATAATTATTATAATTCTAAGGTTGCTAATCTTATTAATATTTTCTTAATATTATAATTAGATTAATTATATTTAAAAAGTAATTATTTTAGAATTTATTTTATTAATATAAGTTTATTTCTGAATTATTTCTTCTCCTCTGATCAGAGTATCTAGCTTTATTTAATATATATAGAGATTTTATTTTCTTTTAATTAGAGTATCTATTTATCTTGATTATATATATATACTTTGCTCAAGAAAACAAAAGAAAGAAAATATAAAAAAGAATTAAAATAAAAAACTATTCTATATACAGAGCTAGATATAGAACTAGATAAGTTTCAAGCTTAAGATCTCTAGCAGAGAAGCTAATACTCTATATTACTAAGCTGCAGAACCAGAAAATACTCTAACTATATACACAGCACTTTGAACTAATCAAACTGCAACTATCTGATATACTTTAGATAGTAGAAGAAGAATCTCTACTGATTCAATAAATAACTAAAGGATTAGAAAAGCTTCTTAGAAACTTACTCTATTAATCTCTTCTGATCAGAGTATCTATTCCTTTCAATCATCTGTATATGCTATACTCTTTCTTCAATAGCTATCTTATTAGCTAATTAATCATACTAATCTCTTCTTTATTCCTTTGCTGCTATCATATCTCAGCTTTTCTTAATATCAATCTGCAATCGCTTCTCTCTTTCTCTATATTATATCTGCTTATATATTGCTCCTATTATGCTATACTATCAGGCAGTTCAACTAAACCAACTTCTCCCCGTTTCTTTACTATTACCAAATTCTTCTCCTTCTTAATATCAATCCGCTGCCCTCGGAATGCTGTTCAGCTGAGCTGAAGCTCAGAGGGGAGCATATTCAGCAGCTCCTTGCTAAACTGATCCGAGTTCCAGCCTAAATTAGCCTTTGGATCTGATCAGAATTCCAGCCTGCTTTCTGTACTTACAAGAGCTTTGGAAGCTTATATAGCTGAATATTTGCTTTATATCTTGAAGATATATAAATAAGCTTTAACATGCTAGATATAGTTTGCATATATATTATCTTAAATGCTAGGAATAGAGCGGCATTTAAAAAAGGGGATTATAGCATGTATAATTGTTTCATCTGCAAGCTAGCATAAATAGCTTGCAGCTTTCTAAGAACAGCAATCATATGGATTATAGTTGCGAAAGCTGAAGAGAGCAATAATCAGAGCTAGCATACATTATATATCAATAGAATAGCTTAGAAGAGCAATATACTTTCCAAAGAGCCTGAATCTGCTAGCTTCTATAAAGATAGTATTAGATATAATCTTCTTAAACTTCTCAGCATGAGATATTTACAATGCTTGCTTTTGCAAGAGCAGCAACTGATTGATTGCATTCCCAATTGCTTGCATTGATTTTTCCTAAGTATTCAGGATTCATATACTATATAGCTCCCTAATAAGCATCTGCAGCTTATAGAACTGCAGAATATTATATAGCTCTCGATGCTTCTAATAGTAGTAAGCATACCCAGGCTGGAGCATAGCTTTGAAGAGCGTAATCCGATTTTATGCATTCTCTAGAGCAGTTGAACGAGCGGAGATAAAGATGAGCTTGCTAGAGCTAGCTATAGCAGCTGATGAGAGGTTGAGAGTGGGATAGTAGCTGATAAGCGGTTTGGAGAGTAGGGAAGAAGCAGCTGATGAGATTTTCAGTAATAAAGCTTAGTAGGATAAGCAGAGAAAAACAAGGGCAGTTGATCAAGCCTCTGATCAGAAGCAGGCTATTCAGTAAGCTGAAGAAGAGCAGTAGGTAAGCAGTATAGAGAATAAGCTGTTTGAAGAAGAAAGGAGAAGCAGTTCAGTTGATCAGATGTTCAGCAATAGAAGTTGAGAAGCTAAGTGAAAAAAGAAAAAAGATGGTAGGTTTAGCTTTTGGTAGAAGAGAAGGCTAACCAATATGGAGGGGAAGAAGGGGTGAACAAGCAGAGAAAAGGCTGGAGGCAGCTGAGCAATCTGGCAACAGAAGCTGGTTGGATGAAGGCTTTTGATAGAAGAGGAAGCCAATCAATATAGAGAGAAAGAAGGGCTGTGAACAGGCAGAGAGAAGGCTGGAGGCAGCTGAGCAACCTGGCAACAGAAGCTAGTTGGATGGAGGCCTGGTAAGATAGAAAAGGAAGAGGAGAGATTAGCTAGGCACTCTAATCAGTAAAGCAGAAAGCCTTTTTAATCTGAATAAGAGCAGAAGCTAATATTCAGAGGGCTGAATAACAAGAATTAGTGATTCACTTGATAGCAGAGCTTGCTTAAGATCTGGAAGAGGGAAGGTGCATACTCAAATCTCACTTCCTGCTTGTGAATCACTTGATGCTTACAAATTACTTCATATCTGTAAATCACTCCTACTGAGATATTGGAATATAAATATCTGCTATTCAGCTATCAAATATTAGCTTTGATTCTCTTCTCTTCTCTTCCTTTCTTATACCAAGCAATAGAGCTAGATAAAACTAATATATCAAGCTGTAGCTCTGCTTCTATCTCACCTTCTCTCTTTCCTTACTGCTCTCATCAGGCTCAGCCTTTCTATCTCCTTGCTGATTACAGCCTAATCAATATCTTTCTGCTACATACCAAGCTATCTCTCTATTTCCTTCATACTGCACTCCTGCATATCCTTTACTAGCTCTTCTGCTACTATTCTTCAAAACTCATATTTTTCTTCTATTTCCTTTCATCCTTTCAAATCTCAACAGATAATACAGCAGCCTACCGATCAGTACCCACGATATCTGGAAATAAAGGAAAGAAGCTTGCTACAAGCGCTAACTTTCCAGTTCCCTCTCTCGAAGAGGCGCAGGCCCAACTGCTCTCAGGCAGTAAGCAGATGCAAGCTCGTTCTGCTAGCTCCTCTTGCTTTGCCTCAGTTCCTTCTTAGCGAACTAACTCCTTTCAAGCTGCAGCTGATAATATTATAAAGGATATTAATAAGCAAGGCGAACAGCGCTATACTACGCTAGCAGAAGAGGCCCGATTAGTTCTGCAGATATCTGCTCTATCCGCTTTCAAAGCTCTTCTCCAACAATATCAGAAGATTACAGCAGATCTCAGCTGAGTAATTATAAACTCTATGAACGTTAACCATCCATCTGTTAAGAATGCTCTGCTGGCTGATCGCTCTAACTACTTCGATGCTGAGCTAGCTTATTCGCTAGAAGTAAGAGTAATCGAGCTCTTTAAGCACTACTTTCCTAGTATTCACTTTCACTCTATACTGTATAACTCTGATTAGAAAAGCTCAAATCTGAAGATTGGAAGGCTTGATAGAATCTACTGAGTTTATACAGCTTTAATACTATACAATGTTGAGGGTTTTATTCTGCAGTGTGAGCAGCTTACAGATTTGGCGCTAATGAGCTTAATCAGATAGCAGCTGATGAATCTAATCTTGCAAATGTGAATAATAAATTAGTTCTTCAACTTTGCAAGCTAAAAGATCTCTTACTTTCAAGGGAAATACGAATTAGGAGTATGCTGAGCAGTCTTTTCCTGTTTTCGCAACAACTACTAGTTTGTTGTAATTTACAATTACTATTAATATGCTATTTAAGTACTTAACTCCTACTATTATAAGAACTCTATTGTACAAAAAAGAGTTATTCAGATAGTAGAGTAGCATCTGATTGTTATGAAGCAGCAGCTAGCAAACAAGATTCTAGCTTACTAGCATATGCAGATCTGTGTATAGGAGGATGAATGGAGCTGTAGCTTGCATATAGCTAACAATCTGCGCTTTTTCTTCCAGGAGCCTAATAAGCAGCAGAATAATAGCTAGTTTATAAACTAGCGGAATTCAGCATTATTTCAAAATACTAATACTAATATCTTGCCTTAGCAATATATTGAGAAGGCTTTTCTTGTTGTTATCCGATTAGAGCTAAGCAGGGCAAATGGGGTTCTACAACAGGCTGAGTTCCCCAGGAAAAGCTTAGATCAGTAGAGAGCAGAGAGGAGTATTAAGAGCTTTGAGAGCATACAGATTTCAGATAAAGCTAGAGAAGCCTGGATTTATCCTGCGAATATACAGCTCCGAGAGGATACAAAGGCTATTGAGTTTGCTCTCAGCGAGATAAGCTGGATGCAGCGCTTGCTTCCGCTCCTGCTAGCTTCTTCTATAAGAGCAGAGAGCCAAGTTTCTCATCCT